CATCTTGAGTGAGTGTTTCTTTATTCAAGGGAAAGCAATTATATTTGAATGAATGAATATAACTTTGCGGATAAAGTTATGATAGATATAGAGATGTATTAATTGGGACCTACTTTCTTTTTCTTATTGTAATCTCTTTTAACTCTAAAGTCTTAACAGCAATGCCAAAAAAATCATTTAACTGCTTATGGGGTAGGTATAAGCACATGTTGAGACCGGAGAGAAATGTTACTGACCTAAAATATAAAAAAACATATATATTTATAATAATAATTTAAAAAAAATTGAAATATCGATAATCTACTATTATATTTGTCTTTTCAAAATTATCTTCTTGTGTGCTCAGCAAGAAGAAAATCACCATTGTTGATGTGCCTCAAGGCACCATAATAATACTTATCAATGACCAGGTTGTATCCTTTTTCAATTTTTTAGAATATAAGATAATGATAATGGAATATTTTAAAAAAACTTAATGTCATTAATTAATGGGTGTGAAATTAAAAAACTCACAAGTCACAAGTAGGATTTTTGAAAAAATCTCGCAAATACCACATTGAATGGTAGAGGAACTTTGAAAAAATCTCATGCTATAAATAGAAGTTACATCCCTTCATATTTTCTTATTTCAAGTTGAGTACGTTTTTACTCATTTTTTCCCCTCATATTTTCTGTTGATGCATTTCTGGCAAACTTCTTCCTTCTTTTTTTCCGTGACACTAAGAATTTGAAAATGCAATGATATTGTGAGAATTTTGGAAAGATAATCAGATTGTTGGAAAAGAATTGACACAACTAACCAGAGTGTGAGAACAAATTATTACGTGTAGCCATACTGTGATGAGAATCGTGCCATTTAGAATTATTGCAAACTACAGTAAAAATAATACTTTTAATAATTAAAATTTCAGAAATGTAAAATTAATATTTTTGTATTGGAATAAATAACAATATAGTAAAGTTTAATAATATGGTTGAATTGAATATAATAGAAGTTCGTTTTTTGCTTGGTAAGTTTGTTTTAGCGTATTTCTATTATATAGGTGCAGGGATACTCATTGTTTTTGTTTTGAATTTGATGTTACTATTAATTAGTTTGAGCTAACAAGAGTAGGCAAGTTCACATTACTAGAAGCAGAAGGATGAAGAAGTTTAGCTTGGATTTGAAGCATCGTTCCACATTCTGCAAAGTTGTAAGTACTTGTTAAGATTCTGAGTTCCGGGCCAACATTGACAAGGCATGTGATATTGTAGGTGTGAGCTATGATAAATGATGTGCCTTTAGCAATGTTACAAACATAAGCTAGGCTTCATAGGAGAGAACCTTCTAAGGGTGTTACAAAATTGATGGTATAGGACCAGTTGGTCAGATCTGGTGTTTATCTAACCCATTGAAACAATGCAGCTCCAATATTTCATTCTCCACTTTATTTTCATCAATGTCTAAAATTGGTTCAAATTTTCCTTTTAATATATACAAATCAGTATCATGTCCTAACTTTGAAGAAGGATTTTGGATATGCTTTTAACTTTAAGCAGCATTACTGTATGTAAAATGTTAAAAATAAAGTAAATGCTGACAAAAATATTGATAAAATGTGACAAAAATATTAAGAACCTTAAAAAACAAAAAGACGAAACTATCATTTTCCATGTCTCTTCTGCACAATATGAACATGTATGGGCCTGGAGAACAACTTGGGTAGGCACAATATACAAGACAGAAGACAGTGAAGAAAGCTCAAAGAACAAGTGATAGCAAAAGTAGCAAGGCCCCTCATGGATCGTATCTATGAGATGCACCTCATGGAGTAGGTAGAGACAGGTGAGTCCACAGTGGGTGAAGCACCATAGACTCTAACATGATCACTCTCTAAACCATAATCCATCATAGGACGGTACTCCAAATCATCATCATGATCAATCACAAACTCTGGAATCTCCACTTCCTTCCTCCTCACGTGCTCCCAGAGATAATCAACCCTGCTCACGTACCTCACTTTCCCGTACAGCCTGCCACACACAATACAACCCTACCATTACCCATTACCCATTACCTACTCCTCCTATTAAAATAATAACTTCAATCAAATTATCATCTGTCTCATATTTTATGTTTCATTGTATCACAGTCCAATAGAAAATTAACACATACTTAAAAAGAAAATTCATAAAAACAAAATGTAAAATTTTTATGTTATTTAGTGTGATTTGATTGGTTTGGAATAGGGAGACAAAGACATTTGGTAACATAGAATCATGCTTAGTACAAATCAGGGTGGAATCCAATTTTTATGCACCAATAATATATCATTTATGCGTTAATCAATAGTCATCATATCCATTTGATGTGTTAAACCGTTAATCATCATTTAATCTCAAATAATACACATGCATAGATGTTAAACCAAAACACATGCTAGTCAATATGAACTTCATAAATTTAAATATAACTCGAAAGCAACATCAAATTTAAGAATGTAAACAATCATTGGAAAGGTTTCTATATATAAAGTAGTTAATTCTATAAAAAAACACCAAAACAATTAAACATGTTAATTTACAACATTTAAAAAAAACTAGCGTAATACTCACTTGCTATTGATTTATATGATATTTATTGTATTTTTAATATGTATTTTCTTATTTTTGGTAGCTAATATTTTTTCAATTAACTATAAAGAAAGGGATAGAAAGGTAAGAAAAATATCAATTAATAAACCTCTACGCAGGATATAGCAACAACAACAAAAAAATCTTCCAAAAACAAAGATTTATCAAATTGTTACGGCAGAGGTAGTATATGTTAACATATAAAAAAAATGTGGTTTCAACGATAGATGTGAACTGAAAATGAGGAAATGGCAGGCTCAGGTTAGCAAAAGCAACAAGGTTAGAGCTAAAATGCACCATATAAAAAAAACGGCGGTTTCGTTGTTACCCAGCGGCGCTGAAGAGGAAACGGCCGAAGGTAGCGAGAAAAAGTCGTGACTGAAGGCCTGGGTGAATGAAATAAACGGCTTCTAGATTGTCCTTCACGTTCACCGGAATCGCGTCGTAAATTGATCGGAGACCAGAGATTCCGGGAAAATTCTCGCTCCTGTTCACGCCCGTGTGAACATACAACACCGAGAATTTCATCTTCCCAAGCTTCGGAAAAACCCTCTCCTCCAAATACTTGTTCAAAACGTCAACGCTCACCAACCGCGCTGAAAAATAATAATCCTCAAGAACAATTCCATAAAAAATTAAAAAAACAAGAGTTATTTATAGTATGGTTACCAGGGAAGAATTTTCCGATAATGCGAAGGATTTTGCGGCCATTTTTGTCTTTGCCTTTGATTTTGAAGACTTGTAATTTGTCAAGCAACTCTTCCTGTTCAATTTCAGAAATGGTAGCATTGGAACTCATTTTTATTATTATTATTATAAAGAAAGAAAGAAAGAAAGAGGGTTTGCATGTGGTAGTGAAAGAAGGGATGAGTATATAAAGAAGATTATGATTGTGATGGAGAATGGGGATAGGGATTATAAGAGGTGACATTGATAAACTAAACAAAATACATTCAATTAGTTGTGGACAGCATCAAAATGAAAATAAATATATAGTAAAAATAAAATATAAAAAAGGATAAGAAATTTAAGAGCGTGGAAAAGGAAGAGGGCAAAGAAAAGATGAAGAAAAATGATATATTCTCTTACTAAATCCTCCTACTAATTATTCTACCTCTTATTAGTGATTAGTATGTCACTTTTTTTGTAGGTATGAAGATTAGTAGGAGGATTTAGTAGTACTTCGGAACAATTTCGTGGTTGCGCAGTCACAGGGTATATTCGAAAGCATCTTCCATTTTTTAGGGACCCACATGGATACACACACAATCGCAGCCGTACATTCCTTCATGATGAACGAATCATGTTTTTTCAGAGTAATTAATTAATCATGACATGGAAGAGAGTCTGAAGTCTGGACCATTCACAAGAAGCACCCAACGAAGCTTTATCCCATTTTTTGATAAAAACAAATTATAGGCAGATATAGACATCTACGAATTAGAACTATCAAGATCGTGACATGGTTTTGAAGAGTAAAGGAGGAAAATGAAATAATAGAGAGTTATGTATTAATTAATATATTTGTGAATGATGTAAAATATTTCATTTTGCTTCCTTTACCACCAAAAACAAATTAAAAAAATGTGTCTAAGAAGGCTAAGGCAAAAAAAAACATCATTAAGGAAAGCCCAAAAGTTGTAAGAAATAACCCGAAGGATCCTAGAAGACCAAATCTAAGAGATAGAGCCTAAACTTGGAAGGCAAGGCGAAGAAGGTCGATAGAGAAATGCTCTAATAATCAAAAAAAGGATAACACAAATTATACCATAAGAAACAAAGGACCCATTACCATTTTGCATATTGAAAACACATAGAACTTTACATCTAAATATAAAAAAGGATGCAGATCAAATATAAAAACTTTTATGTGCAGAAAGAGTTTTTGTTAATTTTTTGCGTATGAGGTTTTTTAACTTAGTTTTATAAGCTTGATAATGTTAATTGTATGAGTAAAGATTTAACATACTTATATTGATGTTTGTAGATGTGGTCCTTAATTATGGATATTGAATTTATGTCGTAAAAAGAGGGTTTATATTCGGAAGAAAAAGGGGGTAGGAAGGATGTTAATTTGGCCTTCATAACGAAATGAGGTGGGAGCAGGTTGCTAGAAGTTGCTGAGACATAACATTTACATAAGTATTATCTGATACTGTTTTGGATCATTAGGCGTGGATGGATGAGTATGACAATATTCAATTATAGGCATTGTGAACCATGGTGCTATTTTCTCTCTCTGGTCAGTATACCCATTTGTTATTTTAAAAGTCCTTTTTTGAAGAAGAGAATTCTCATGTACTGTTAAAGAAGTCCCACACCGCTGGGGTGGAAATAATATGAGGTTGGAGTTTATATAAAAAGGAGCTAAGTGAATAGAGAAAGGCATCTTTGCGCTTGGGGCAATGACGCAGCTAATGAGGTTCTAACCGAGGCGCGTCTATTGCTGGTTGAAAACTATTTCCAAACCCCCTCCTAGGCCTGGGTTCAGCCTTGGCCTTCGAGAATTTCTGGAAGGGCTCCCTTCGGGGTAAAGCCTTACAATTTTAGTTCAATATTTTTACTCACTTCTATTTATTAAATTATAATGTTTTATAATTTACTTACTGTCACGTATGTGATTAAAACATCTTAAATATATTATCCACATTCATGAGTACTCTTGTTTTAATATTTATAAAGAATGTATCTGGTTTTAAAAATATTTATTAAATTTCAAGACCTAAGGAAATATAATTTCATATTTCCAATGTTATTGTGCATGCACACAGAACGAAGGTCATCCTTTATTGTAATTTTTTGGTTAAGAATGAAATTTTGCCATTTTTAGTGCTAAATTTTAAAATTTTAGTAGAGTATATTGTAAATATTTTAATTCTAAAATTAGGGATACCAAAAGTTGAATTGTATCAAAAATCGAGGGTTCTATAAGAACAAAATAAGAGAGTAGAACCAAAATGTTACCAGAAATTGTGGAACCAAATTGAAAATAAAAAATAATTTCAAAGATAATTTGTGGCCTTAAAAAATATAAGTTGTTTTGTAACTTACAAGTTGTGATAGATACTGAAATGTAAAACTAAAGATAAACTCACAAGAAGAATTTAGTTTAGGAAGGCATCATAGATATGAAATAACTGAGGCAATGCAATTGATCTTTCGATTCTATTAATTTTCGAATCTGCTCTTTGAATCCTTCACGCTATTATTATTTTTGAATGGAATGTTGAGTAATCAACCTTTCCTTCGCCACCCTTTGTGTTATTGAAATTTAAAAAAGGTTAATGCAGACAAATTTTTTAATCATTACATTTACCCCTTTGATGTTGTTGTACATTTACAAGATGCATTCTTTATCAATATTAAATTAATTTCAAGGAATGCCTTCATAGTATAGGAGGACAAGTAACTCATCTGTTATAGCTGTACAATGTGTATGTTTCTACAAGGCTATCTGTTACTTTCAGTGTAAGCCTAACTAGGTTGATCAGATTCACGATAACCAGAAACTTGAGACAGCTCCAGTAACTCCTGCTCACCACTCAGAACCTGCAAGTAATGCTTGATGCAATGAGAATGAAACAAATTTGTGCCGAGACAGCTTATTGACTTCTTTACCTGTCCATTAATAATCCATGTAGGGAAACCTTCAATTTTGGCATCTATGCATGCCTTGATCATTTTAGTTCCTTTCCTATAACCTTCAGGAAAGCACTCTACATAATCCAACTGCTTGGCTGCCTCACGTCCAAACATCTGTTACACAAAGAAATGAGGTGAGTAACCCATTGGCACTAATCATGCTTGAAGACACGTTAGGCACGCAAATTTGCAGGCATGCAAGTATTGTGATCTGTCCGCAATGGACATTTTCAAGCATGGAAAGTCATGTAGATAAATTAGAAAATATTGTTAGCGCGTTTTGATAGGCTCACAGCATGGGAAATTTAAAGACACCAGCAAGAAACAAAAGTTTTCATGAAGATTTACCCTGAAATTTAACTAAGTCTGAAACCAAGGTCAACACTCAACACAATCACAAGAAATGGCCATATGCTTGTGAGTTCTTGATTGAAATTTAAAGTACCAGAGTTGAATTCCTAGGACTGAATACAATTGATGACAATTTGGAGAAATAGATAACAGACCATGATGATTTAGGTTCCATTTAGTATTAGCTAAAAACTTGAAAGGGAACATTTTTAAGAGACTCCATACCTCTTTTTGCTCTAAACAGTGTGAACACCAGAAAGCTCCATACATTCTAGCTCCTATTGAGTGCAAATGCCGTGCTAGAGATTGTGTAAAAGGGGTTGATGAAGTTGAGATCTCAGTTGCATAATATGGCAGTTCAATTTCAGCCAGGCTGTTAAAGCAGACAATGGAACAACAATGAGAATTAAAAAATGAATGCTATATTGATCTTGGTTTATTTTACCCACACAAAAAATATTGTTCTTGGATTCATATCCAAATTCCAATGAGAGCAGGGAAATAAAAATAAGAATATTTGCAGTCAAGGCTTATTTTTGAAAAAAGTAAAAGTATCCATCACATGGGAGGCAGATTTGGAACTGGAAAATAAAAGAAGCATAAAATGTAACCTTGAGGAGGCGGAGTTGGAACTGGTATAGGAGGTATTAAGTGTGAGAACGACCAAACCAGAAATAAACAGCTGAAGGCCAAGTTGTTTATAGGTCTCTTGCAATCCAAGGTCCTATAACACATTCCAAAATGTCAAAACCAAATAAAGAACAAGAAAAAATAAGATAAAGAGATACAAAGGTTTTATCATAATTTACCTTGACAGTAATAAAGAACAAGTTAAACGATAAAATAACAGAAAGTAAGCAGTAGGTGCAAGAGGAGGCGGGGAACGCAGTAGTTAGAATGTACAAAAAATAGGAACTAGCAGCTGCCATTGAGGTAGTGGTAGCAAGCAATAGTAGTTGAGCATTAGATTTGTTAATCCCAAAAGAAAACTTGTTTGTAGCTAACTGGAAACCAAGCGTTGCAGCAAAGCCATATGCAGCCATCCCAATCAAGGGGAGTGGAACACCTACCAAAATTGTAAACAGACTTTGTCATTAAAGGAAAAAGACTCTTTTTTTCTTATTCTTTTCCAAAAGTGAATAAGTAAGAGTGTATCTATCCTTAAGCAATGTAATGTAGTGAAGTGGAATAGAACACCATTTAGATTGCATCCAATCCCCTCTTTTATATTTGGATATTAGATGAAACCAAATCTTGAAGTTCTATAAAACCTAAACCCTATAATTTATAAAATGAAGGCGTGTACATCCTTGTTTACTCACATTAAAGTGTCATAGTTACTTCAAACTTTCAAATAAACACAATACGTGTTCACGTGGTTAGTCAAATTGAAAGAGGAGATACCTAAAACGACTGCGTAATCACTGTTGAGGATGTCGGTGCAAGAACCGCCACTAACGGGGCAGAAGGCATCAGAACCGGTGAGCTTAATGAAATTGAGATATGAAGTTTCGAATAATCCGATTCCAGATATCCCTGCGACGAGTTTATATGTCCAATTAGAACCAGTGGAAGTGGCGAGAGTAGCGGTTTCTGGTTCGGTTTCAGGTTCAGGTTCGGAACCGAAAGAGGAGCATTTGAGAGGCACCAATCTTGGACTTGAACGCAAAATTGAAATTAGGTTAGGTTTGTGGTGTTGGTAACGAATTGGATTGAAGGAAGGAGAAAAGGATAACAATGACATTGTCGCCATTCACAAGTCTACCTCATCTTCTTTCCTCAAACGCATCGTTTTACTTGCTCTATTAACGGGGAAGAGGAGTTTATTGGGCCATTTTGTTTGTTTTCTTATAATGGGCTACTTTTACAGCCCAACGCTTATCTATCACTTTATGATGGGTTAGTTGTGGGTCCCTTCATGCGGTAATGATGGTAATTCTATTATTATTAAGCATCATGCTTCATTCCATTTTATTTTCATTTTTTCAGGCTTATGGTAGACATGGATTTTGAATTAAAACTTTTATATGGATATTTTTTTTATTTGAGTCTAGTTTTAGATACTTTGTGACCCTTGTGCTCTTCTGCTACTCAAATTTGAATTAGTTGGGGACACTATTATTTATTTAGGATGAATGGTGTACTTGGACCAACAATTAGAGATCAACCCTTTTGTTATTTTAAATTTATTAACAAAGTATTTTCCATTTGCACAATAGAGATTGAACCATTAACTTTAAGTTTAAGGAACTCACATACTTATCAAATGCGTGTATTAGGTCTTACTGGTATTGTTTTTTGCAGAACTATATTGATGGTTGCAAATGAGTTATTATATGATGTATGAATCAAGTTTAACTTGCTAAATGAATTAGATTGAGTATTCAGTTTTTGTTTTCATAACAATTTTGTTGTCATCATAATCATTTGGGATGATTTGCACTCAATGGATATAGGAGGTCTTAGCATTTGAATTCAGGACGCATAGATTCATTTTAGCGTACAATCTGGATATTGCAAAGTGTTATAAGTCATTATTATCTGTCAAGAAATATATATTTTAAATATATTGATGTATAAGACACTCAAAGTTCATTTATATCATACCTTCTATTCTAATTATACATTTATCTATTGCATTCTCTTTTCCATCTCTTATATGCATAACCAAAAGCATTAACCTATAACAAACAAATGAAAGGGGTATTAGAAAACCACTAAAGAAATACCTAATAATACTTTTGTTCATTTCTCTATTTTGGAAGTTTAAGTGTGATATTTTATCTTTATTTATAATTGTTTTGATACTTTACTTACTTATTTTTAAAAGTCAACCCATTCCATCCATTATTTTCATTACTAAATGAAATTGTAAAGCAAAGCAAAACTTTACCTTAGCGTTTGATCTGATATTTCTCTAACTCGTGGCGTATCCTAGGAAAACATGAAATAGCACTTAGATATTGGCACGGCTCAATCAAAACCAAAACCAAAACCCACAGAAAAGTTTTCCATTTTCTGTTAGTTTTGCATATTTTTTTAATAAAATAGCTAAAACTGGGTGTGTTTGTCTGAGTGAACCAAGCCAATATCATAGTAGCTACTTCATAAAAATGTATATATGATTCAAATAGGAAGAAACTTGAAGTACATTATAAGAGAAGAAGTAAATGTTATGGGGGAGAGAAAGAAAGAAGAAGCGTTTGTGTTTTGAGTGTGAGAAAGTGTTGATGAGTGGGATTGATTATAAGAGGGGAAGAAAGGGTTTGTTTCTGTATATAGCATTTAAAGCCCTCGACTACCAATGCATAAAGCTGGGGACACTGCATTTATATCCATGGTTCTCGCTCCATGACACTTTCTGTTTCTTTTTTCACTCATTACTTATTCTATTGCCCTTGTGGTCTCTTCAACTTTTAATATTGCATCTGTTACACACTGTTCATCACCTAAAATTCTGGTTATCATATACTCAAATTTAACCCTTTCTTGGCTCCGACTCATTCATCTAACCAACTTGTTGCTCAGATTCTTCTTTCACGCTGCATGTGGGGCATAATTGTCTTCTGGATGCATGACTTCTCTATTACTTTACCACCTAAATTATTCTCATCTCTAAGAGATTGCTACCAGGAAGCCACAAGTAAAATATTACATTTTAAATCAAAATCTAAAAGCATTTGTTGTATGAATATTTTATACTTATAAACTTTTTTATTATTCCCCTCATATTATATACTATTTTCTAATTTGTGCATCAAGTAATATAAAAAATGTTATTTTCTGTTTTTTTATTTTCTTTTTGATTACGTGATAGTTTTTAACTGAATTGATACAGATTGGGACACCAAAAATGGGACAATTCTCTTTACAAATGTCAAATTTGTCATCATCCTCAAAACTTTGTTTTACTGGTTCCTTATCCTTACATATTAGTAAAACTTTGAAATTAATAAGAAGTTCTGATATTTATAAACGGTGAGGGATCTACTTACTCCAAGAGTAAGTGAAAAAACTTATTCCACATCTTAGTCATTTAATTTTGTAAAATCCAATGGTTTAGATGTACTCACTAATTCAAACCATTGGATTTCCCAAGAATGAATAAACTTGAGGTGGAGTAGATTTTTCCCACTAGGTATACATTTATTATGTGTTCAGTGTAGTGAATAGTGATACCTTGAACTTATGCGAAGTGATATAGGCACCTTTGGTTGATAAAAAGGAAGAGAGATTAAATACATGATGGCGATACTCGCTAAGTTACAGAAACCAGAAAGACCACAACATTAAATGAGGGAATCTCCCTCTGTAATGAACAGGCCACAACATTAATAATAGCCACTGTACCCTTGATCTGTCAATACCATTTGGCTCCTCCTACCCCCTTACTATTATTACTACTCTTTCTTTTTGAGTTGAGGGTATTGGAGATGAGTTATTATGTTGATTTACAGTGTAGGAAAAATCAAACTAGACTTTTGATGTTTGCTCAATATGGCAAAACAGTATCTCTCTTATAATTGGTAGTCTTGTTTTATATATGTGCGCCATGCTTCAATTTTTCTGGTTTGGGTTGATATGGAATTTATGGCAACAATTAATACCACTTAATAGCTACAAACCTTTTTCTACTAGATGGAATCTTTTTGCAGTCACTCAACGTCTCAATGTGTTGTGAAGTTTATGAGAGGACATTGTTTTGACATTAGTGCTTAACTGTTTATGGCATCCAATTTTGCAAAACTCAAACCCAATGTAAAAATATTGAAACTGGAGTGCAGGAGGAGCATACTTTTGATGACTTGTTCTGTTTTTTGACACCATTAAGGTAAGATAGATATATATTATTTTAAAAAGTATACACTTCAATATGTTCATATACATTTACATAAATGTTTAATAAAAGTATCACGTTATAAATAAGTGTATCGCTCTATTCTCAATCAAATATTATCATATGTAATATTGTTAATTTAAAAAATTAATTTGCTATTTATTTAATACATATTTATCGAAATAGGGTTGGTGGTAATGGGATTAAAAGGTCTCAATTCATGTGAGAGGAATCTCGTAATTAAAGTCACAAAATACTCAAAAAAATAAAACATGGTACAGAAAACTCAATTATGAGAATTAAAAACAATTTGGGTCTCTAATGAAGTAGTTAGAGCTAGCAAATATAAAAGCTGTGATGCACCATTATAATTGTGAGTAGACCCCACATTTGTTAATAAATCATAAATCATCCACACCTATTTGGCTGTCACTTGCATGTATATACAACATAACTTACGTAATCATGTCCCAAATTCCTAACTTTTTAAAAGATACATAAATTAATTTGATTATAATATTTATATACTGTTAATGCAAAGATTTATACACAATTAATAATGGTTAAAAATAAATTATAGATAATAAACTGACAGCATATAAAATTTCTATACCATTTAGTGCATCCATATTTTTTCTCTTATGATTTTGATTTGGCAATGTAGTGTCTTAGTTAAAGGCATGATATAATTAATAGGAAAAGTTTTTCTAAATTGGAAAGCACTGCTGAAATTATACATTCAATAAACTAAATAATAATGAATTAGAAAGACAACAATATGAAACCATTATCAATACACTTCGGAATACTTCATACTTTAAAACTTATATAAAAAACAATGTATTCCAGAACACAAAATATCTTAGACTTTCTGTATTTTTTTACTATTGTTCTATAAATTTATATCGAAGAAATGTTACTTCCTCAAAAATATATATATATATATATATATATACACTAAAACAATAATTGAGTGAGGTGATAAGAAAATATATAAGTTAGAAAGGTGAATGATTAAGACAGAATAGCATTAAGCGAATTTTTTGTTTGTGTTTGTCTCACTTTTTATAATTAAATTAAGTGTTTGTTGGGATCAATTAATGAACTTTTTCTATTAATGACTTATGAGTCCATTCATGATTTGTGAACTTTTTCTGTAATATGTCTTCCACATAACAAAAGACAATAAAATACCCATGAGATAATCTATTCCATCCTACCTGATACATATATTATAATTTTATATGAGATTGAGATAAATCATTCTCATTTATCGGAATAAAATTAAGGTTTAAGATTAAAAATTCTTTGAAAACTCATTATCCATTATAATAAATACATTGTAGATAATAAGAATTATTCCTATTTCTGTTAATTGACTTGAACATTAATGCCAGAAAATCTGACAGTGCACCCAACAGAATGTTAAAACGATTTCATAAACAAAAACTCCATTCCCCAATTCCGTTTCACTACTTTATTTTATTTTTTCCATTTCCAATACAAAGGGATTCTCACCACATCTTAAATTCTATTACTTTGTAATCTTGATTCATGGGCAAAATTAAATCTTTCAATCAAGAGTTATCATTCGGTTTGTTTTTATTTCTTTTTTGTTTAGTTTTATTTCATTGTTGATCATGTAATAATAATATCGTATTGTTTTTTTCTCTCTAGATTTCGATTGATTTTTTAAATTTTGGTACTGTGTCATATCAACGTCTCAAGGAGTCGCAAAACATCATAGTCAAATATGATATCTTTCTGTAAACATTTTCTTCATTCATTCATATTTTACCCACAAAACAAGTTTTTTAGATTCCTATTGCTTGATATTTCAATTTTCCAACCTAAATATATAAAATGAGCCTTTCTTACTAGTCCTTAATTTTGAAAGGTACTTCTAATCTTAACCATTCATTTTAATCCAACAAATGAGAATTATTATTCTCACTCTTATGTAATTTTGTCTTTCTCATCAAATATATTACACAAAAGAGAGAGAATCCCAGAAAGATCAAAGCAAGAGGGTAGAGAAGGCTCTGTTTATTCAGAAAGCTAGAGTTAGTTTGAGTTTGTTCAAAAGTAGGTGATGAGTTATAGTTTGATATGATTGAGATATAGTTATTGTGATCTAGATGGGTCAATGCACATTCCGTAGAACAGATAATAATAGCGGAGGGATTTGCAGTAGAGAAGGCTCTGTTTATTCGGAAAGGCAACGATGCTTTGTGCTGATGGTGAAGGAGCGTAAGTCCAGGTTTTATATTGCTAGAAGATGCATAATTATGCTAATTTGTTGGCACAAATATGGCTAGCTACTATTAAATCCTTTACATACTTTCCTTTTCACTTGTGTGTGTATATATATATATATATATATATATATGTGTGTGTAATAACAGTGCATGTTGTCATAAACAATTGTATGATTAAAATATAAAGTTACTGAGTAATGGGAGACCGGAGAGGACAATTGTCATATGATTATTTATGTCAAATCTACAGTTATTGCATTAACGCTCCATTTCTTTCTTTCTATTTTTGGCCGAGTAATTTGTTTGATAACTAGCCCTGAAAAAAACTTGTTTGATGACTAGGGTAAAAGTTTAGAAATAATGCTATTCACACACGGTTATTACACAATAAAAATCTTAAATTGTAAGAAAGTTGGAAGAGTAGGATATGTATTTGAGATTAAATTTGATAGAGTAGGATATTTATGAGTATGAGAGGGATTTGGGAGAGTCCAAAAAAATGGGGGAAAACATACCTACATGAATATGTCCCTCCCTTTTGCCAGTAAAGTGCATATCGGTGTAGTTTTTACTTCTGGCCCACCTGTGCACGCTAAAAAATTGCTAAAAACAAAGTCAAATAATACGTGAATTGCATAAAACTGTGTAAAATCAAATATATTTTTTCTTTTTTGGTTAAGGTGTAAAATCAAGGATTAATCCATGAACTTGTAAGGCAATAATTTGATACATCAGCTGGCTTGTTTTGATGGTGTTATGTGTTACAACTTACAACTAGTTCTTAGAATTATTATTTGTTTCGGTGCTCCTGGAAAAGCATCATACAAATATATTATTTGGGCTTATAATAATAACATAAAAATAAATTAACGAAAATAGTTTGTTTAGCTTATTGCAAATACATTTAATGAATAAGTTCTTGATCATTCTGTTTACCGAAACTCCCTGATGCAGCTTTTGCAACCTTCTGGAATGCCACTATTATTACCAGTTGATCTGTATTTTTAT